GGTATACCTGGTTTCACTACAATGCAAGAGAGTTACTGCTAAAGTAATATTTTATTTTGCAAATAAACTTTAAAGTCCCTTGAAATAAAAGGCCAATAACTTTTCATAGACGCCTTGAAAAGAATTGTAAATTAGGATATTAATGAGCTTATTTATGGTATTTTTCAAAACAACTTAATTTTGAAAATATATGACATATTTTCTAAGATTGATTACTTTTAATATTTTGCTAAGAAATAAAAAGCAAAAGAATAAAAAAAAAAAGAAGATCACCTTTCAACGTAACAGTAAAGGTTGTAAAATATAATTTCATTTGATCGAATTCCATCATAACCGAATATATACCATCATCTTCACAAGAGATGGACTGCATTGTGATGTCCAAACTCAAGGATGAGAGTGAAAAGACAGCAGCAAGTCTTTCAGAATAACGAGAGGAAACTCTAACAGATCCATCAGACTGGACGGATAGTAAAGTGGAGTCTGATTTTGATATATTTAGGGATAAGAGTTTTGAGACGTTTAAGTTGCACTTTATATCAGCTGATTCACTCAGGAAGATGGAGACCGAAGAGCATTCCAAATCTAAAATACATGTTTTCATGAAGTACGTGAAAACATTGACCATGAAAGTAGAACTATTAAAAAAAACCTCATAAACATTCTATAACGTTCAGAAAAAATAAAAAATCTTTTGCAGATCTTTCCTACTAATTCACAAAGCAAATCTACAAACAAGAATTGGCAATTCCCTTACATTTGTTTTCCTTCGTGCTAGTAGTTGTGATATAAGTCGATGATGGTGTAGTCAAAGCTGAAGTGCAAGAAAAAGAAGTTCTTAAGTCAAAATGCTCATCAAAGTCACCTTTTTCTGCGTCACAAATAAAGTCCATAGATTTTAAGTCTAAAATTTAACACAATTTGTATTTTCATATCATATTGGTGAGTTATATAAGGATTTTTGCAAAAGAATAACAATGACTATTGAATAAAAATAAACCTACACTACAATAAGATGCTTGCGAATAAATTTGACTGATCGTTTTCCTGTTCTCTTAAGAAATCAAGGTACAAAAACTTGTTGACAACACTAAACGAAATTGCACATGGTTTTAAAGGACTTTTATAATTTTCTGAACAAAAAGGTTACCATAATTTTACTGTACCTTCAAAATCAATTTAAAAATATTTCATGACTTTTTATAATCATCCTCATGCAACTTTTGATTTCTTTTTACTTCTTACTTGATGTTGTTGGCACTTCTGTGCATACTGTACTACTACAAACGTCACAGTAATTTTTTCCAATGTAAGCACAGTGTTCCTTATTTGAGCACTTTGACCCAAAAGGAGGCTGATTCTTCTGGCATTGAATGTATGTGTTGCACTGGTCAATCTTTTCATGATCAACAAAAACTGTGCTTGTTTCATTGAAATCTTCACAAGCATTGGCTGAAATTTACCAAGACTATTAATTGTTCACAAATTTGAACAACAACCACAAGAAGGTGAACTGAATTTATCATAAGAATAGTACCAAAAATTCCAGAAATACGGGATCTTTACCTGGAATCACGAAAAATTTCTCTTCTTTAACACTTGACAGAACTGAGCCATCTTCTGTCTGAATCTCACATTTAATTTGACCTTCATTCCACTGATTAGAAACATTGAGGTAGAATCTAAGTCTATGGACAGTCGAACAACTTTCATTTTGCTTGGTATCATCTTTCACTAGTAATGCTAAACCATCAGCTAGAGAGACACTGTAGCGATACGTTGATACAGTTCGATCAAAAATTTTCATGGAATCTGAAATCACTCTCTCGTTGAATATAACTGATTCCTGGGTATTGGGATTGGTAAATGTAAGGGAGAGAAATCCGCTGACTTCCGGATACCCGATCTCACCGGAGCAGGAGTGTTCTGATGTGTAACGGAAAGTTTCCTCTACAATGTCTACATTGAGAGACAGCAACACCGGTGTGGACCCCGCCGTAGCTGTTATAATTAAAAGGGAAGAAGCTAAGAATATCTGATGATATGATATGATGATGACTCTTCTTTAAATTACAAATGAAACATGTTTAACCTCACAATAAACAATGATTTTTTTAAAATTCCTCTTACTTTGACTTTCTCGTGTTTTTATGTATCTACTCTAATAGTAGAATTTACTATTTCTTAATTCCTCATGAAAAATTTGAAACATTTTCCATTTTATTAGTATGACATGATTGCACATGGAAGTTTAAAATAAAACACTCACTAGTAACTGTCAAATATTTGAAATAAAATAAGAACAGGTGTTAATGCATATTTCGGGTGTTAAGATAGCTAGAAATATTGATACATGGATTTGGAGGGAAGAGGTGCACTCACACATACTATATATGACTTGTGTCATCTATACCATTCATAGGGTATGGAACCAATCCGAAATCAGGCTTTTTGGGGTGTTTTCAGAGAAGCAGTGTGTGTATAATGAAGCTTGATAGGAAAGTAAAACCCCAATATCTCTTGCTACATGTAGTCAGTAATATGCATTTGCATGGTAGCCCGAGGTATCTGTACATGCGGAGCTGGTAAATTTATAAAATTAGCACCAAAGAATTTCAATATTATTCTTTTTTCAGCAAAAGGGTTTAATTTGGGAGTTGTAAATGCTTAATTCCTAAAAACTTAAAAATACAGAAAAAAAAAAAACCCAGAAAATACTTTGGTTTCTTGAAGAAAGAATTTAAAAAAAAAAGCAATACACGTCTTAGATCCAGGTGAGTTTCTTCACATTAGCCAAACGTAGTTATTGCAGAAAAAACTGTCTTTTGTAACCTATGTTTACAGATTTACTACTCAGATTTACAATGAAATTTGAGAAAAATATACTAGTACAAAAAAAGGAATATTCAGCCTTACCGAAGATTCTGAAGACTGTTAATTCAAGGAGAGATCATTTTTTTAAAGTTTGTAGACAATGGCTCACAGACTTACTTGTCGGTTGTAATGTCAGGAAGCGTGGGGACGTTATTTGAGTACTTCCGTAAGTAACTGTACAATAGTATTGTGCTTCGTCGCTACACTGTAAGCTCGTAAACACCACTGTTAATGTTCCGTTCTGAAATCTTCCGATTCCTGTAGTTTCAGGATCGTCCGTAATCACTCCATTAGTGTAAGTCGTTATGGTAACGTTTGTATTGTTGGATATTTTGTATATTGAAATGTTCTGTATAGAAGATGTTGCTATATTTGTCTTGCAAGTGATATTCACCCGCTCACCGGGCTTACCAGAAACATAGTACTGGACAAAGGACACATCTGAAATTTAAAAGAAAAATAAATAAAAAAAAGAAGTTGTTTAAATAAAGTAGTAAAAACTGAAAATATATATGGAATAAAAGGAATGAAAAAAATTCGAAACATAAGTATACAAACTTTCTTTTATTAAAGTTTACATCGCACCTTAAAAAACATTTTTAAAAAATCAATTTTTCATATTTAATCATAAACCTGTATTAATTAAGCAAGATAAGATACAAGAATACAATAACAATGCTATAGAATTGTAACATACCAGACGACAGAACAATAATGACTCTCGATGTAATTACAGCGTCATTCATCAATCTGTTTGATGCCATGCAGCGTATTGTAGAACCATTCATGTACTGTTCCAAAGAAAAGTCGCTTTTGAAAGTCCAATCAAAGTCTACGGAACAGTCAGTGTTTCTGGCTGTTAAGTACTTGCTCCGCTTTGCAGGTTCTTGCAATCTTGATCCATCTGGTAATTGAATTTCTAATATGACGTCACCATACTCAAAGTCGGTTTTTGTCCGGCAGGTCAGTTCTAATCTTTCTCCAATGTAAAATGTTGGGCTCATGTCCAGAGTCACGTTACTGACTGGTGCTAAAAAATGAATTTATCTATTAAAAAATATCATGCTCAATGTCTTACTGTCAACTGCCAAAATTTTCCTTTTTGGTGCAATTTCTTGCCCTAATGAATGTAGGCAACAGATGAAAAGTCATAAAACAACACTTCCTCACCGATTAGGTAGAACAACTATAAGCTTACCGGTAATGTGAACGATGCTAATGTTTGTAATGACCGACTCTGCAAAGTCCATCATTTTGATTCCACATGTTAGACGAAGTAGTGAAGGACACAATGCCACAGAGCTTAGCTGAACTTTAAACGTTACTAGTATAGTCTCATTATCTCCTGTAAAAGTGACAGTAGTTAAATCGTTCGTTGTTTTTTCAGATACTGTTCCATTACTGAAGTACACTGCAAGGTCAGAGATATCAGAGTCCAGTTCCTGACCAGCCGTCACGATGCTCCATTTGTCGACCACGTTGACTGTACATACCAAGATAGTATCGACTTTAGCAAAGACGGTAGCACTAGGAAATGATACATCTGAAATGAAGGAAACATCGTCTGTGTTATCTCAAAATGAGGCAAATCAGCAAATACAATCTTTAATTAAGTCGAATGTTGTCTGACGTTTTTCATAAAAAATTGTTTGGCCATTTTTTAACACTGAATTCTCCACGAATTTTTTTTCTTCTCGTTTACCAGATCATGACAAGGAGCACACGGCGGATGCTCACTCCTCCATTGCACCTGATCCCACCTCTGATGTTTTCAGAGGTCCGTGTTTGCTCTGCTCTCGATTTGTATGGACTTTTATATGGGCTTCTGAGCTTGATTACTGTTCGTTATCTTCATATTTCATTACAAATATGGTGCATGGTTACGAAATATGTGTATACTTTTAAAATCCTACAAAAACATTATGATAATTTGAACAGCTATTGAGTTTATTTTGTCAGAATAAATGACGTTAGAATTGGGAAAAACACTCACCTGCTGTACTTAAATAAGAATTTGTTGTCTGCGTTAGATTCATGGTTGAGAGAGATGTATAATTTAAAGAAGTGTCAGAGGAAGGCAGTCTTGGAGTGGAAGTGGAATTGTAGATGGTAACGTTTACATACGTTCAGGAATCTGGCGTAAAAGTAGTATTGTAGATGGTAGTGTTTACATACGTTGAGGACTGTGGCGCGGAAGTGGTGTTGTAGCTGGTAGTGTTTATATACGTTAAGGACTCATGCGGAGAAGTGGCGTTGTAGTTGTTAGTATTTACATACGTTGAGGACTCTGGCGTGGAAGTGGTGTTGTAGATGGTAGTTTTTACATACGTTGAGGACTCCGGTGTGGAAGTGGTGTTGTAGATAGTAGTGTTTACATACGTTGAGGACTGTGTCGTGGAAGTGGTGTTGTAGATGGTAGTGTTTACATACGTTGAGGACTCTTGTGTGGAAGTGGTGTTGTAGATAGTAATATCTACATACGTTGAGGACTGAGTCGTGGAAGTCGTATTGTACATGGTAGTGTTTACATACGTTGAGGACTCTAGCGTGGAAGTGGTGTTGTAGATAGTAGTGTTTACATACGTTGAGGACTCTGGCGGAGAAGTGGCGTTGTAGTTGTTAGTATTTACATACGTTGAGGACTCTGGCGTGGAAGTGGTGTTGTAGATGGTAGTGTTTACATACGTTGAGGACTCTGGTGTGGAAGTGGTGTTGTAGATGGTAGTATTTACAAACGATGAGGACTCTGGCGTGGAAGTGGTATTGTTGTTGTTAGCGTTTACATACGTTGAGGACTCCGTCATGGAAGATAAGGTAGATGGAACACTTGTTAACCTATCGTCCGCATTTGATGTCGTGGATTGACTTGTTGAGGAAGGGACTGTCGTATAATTTATAGGTGATTCATCTGTCCCTTTTGAAGACAAGATAATAGTGGTAGAGAATTCTGTGGTGGATATATTCTGCGTGGATGTAAGGTGTTCCGTTCTTTTGTCTGACGAAAATAGATTTTGTGTTGTCCTAATGGAAGTCTCTGTTGGTGTTGCAGATTTGGTTTCTACAGTTACTTCGGTTGATGGTGAGATTGAATATTCCGTGGGTGATATTCCTGTTGTTTTGGTCTCTACTAATGTAAAGGATAATATGATTACTTCCCTTATCATTACTGTTTGGGTATTAAAAATTGAAATCCTGTATATTTTATGTTCATGTGAGATTAGGGTTAATCTGTTATCAAGGATGTTGATGAGGTATTTCATGTTTTGTCACACTAATGATGGTAAGACTAATAAAGCTGAATCGAAATATGTAATTTTTCCTGTGTTAAAGAATGATACATATTTTTTCTGTGTTAAAGAATGATACAAATATAATGAGCAATGATGATATAGCCACATGTCATGTTCTTGTTCATTTTTAAACATTGTTGAATTTCATCTTCCCTCTCACTACTGATCAAGTAACAATCATTAAGGTTGTGAAAAATTCTGATTATATCAGCAATGTTTTCGTAAAAATATTTATTTTCATCGCAAAAGAATTAGATATTTGTTGATCTAGTTTGTATATTTTCGTATCGTATATATTGCAATAAATGTTGACTGTGATGTGTTCGATGCTGAGGTATTGCTGTAAGAATGTATTTACCTTTAGATTTCTGTAAAGCACTAATTGTAAGAGATTTTATAAATATTACACCACTTCTCGAATAGGTCACACATTCGATCTAACGACAGACTGCAATTGTAAGCATTGCAAGTCATCGTTTTGATAACAAGAATGTTGCTATCCTTGTTTTCATTGGATTCTTGTCAGTAGCCTGTCTTGTTTAAGAAAGTTTGTGTACGTGAAACATGCCCTTTCATATGGGAGACATAAAACCATATTCAGCTGATAATGGTATATCGCCCCATAATGGAAAGATGGCGGCGAAAAAAAAAATTAGTAATCACATTTATCATTAATTTTAGTTTTCAGTTTGTCATCAATGTCTTTCTTTAGGTAAGCATTCAAGTACGATATCTCAGGTTCTTTGATGTATTTTGTTGTGCTATCATCGGGATAATATAAATTAGAATGAATGAGGCTCAGCATGTCAGTTTTGCTTAACTGACTGCATTTACACGTCAAAACTTATTTAAAAGGGTTGATTCAGACTTAAGAATAGACAATAATATATATAAGTAATGTCGCTGTAATGGTTTTCCTGGTATTTAAACATGAACAAGACCAGTAAAAATAAACAAAAGAAAAGACGTTCAAAACGTGTGTTTGGGCAAAACGAAATTCTAGGGAATCTAAACTTACTAACTAAACCTTTTCTAGGAAATTACAACTGGTTTAAATTGTAAAATATTTAAATCTTCAAGTTTAAATAAGCTAAACGTGTCTCGTAAATAGGCAAACGCCATAATAGATTTTACTATCTACGATATAAGCTCCGGGGTATACCATTTGCATCTGTTACACCTGACTGCTTTATTGTGCTATGTAAGTGCTATGTAGCATACGTCCGTCTACAAAGGTGTCAACTCATTACACATTACACCGAACAGTGACTATGTGAACGGCTTAGATATGACAGTGAATGAAAGAATTGTTTTCAGCGTTAAAAATGATAAAGGTTATCTCTTCCTTTCAATTTACTGAAAAATCTAGTATAAGGACAAATAATGGTCTTTATCGAACACAGTTGAGAAAAGATGATGATTGTATGGATTTTTTTTCAATATTAACCTACAGTCAATAGACATAAGTATTCGTCACTGACGTCAAAATACACGGATGGCCGTAAACGTTGTCACGGCTATTTTCGACTGTGCTATTTATAGAGAATATGTCGGTTTCGGAAATTTGGTCAGATTAAACGTCACATATAACCGAAATGAATATATCAAATATTGGTAGATTGTTTGGAATATCAAGGACAATTATGTATAGTATTATACAAAAAAAAATGAAGATTTCGGCAGTGTAGAAAACAGGGGTCGATCTGGAAGAAAACCCGAGTACGCCGTGCATAATTAAGACCTGAACTTTCAAGACTGGTGAAAAATAACAGGAGGAAATTTTAGAGGAATTTATAAATAGTAATAAGTAAGGAAGGGATTATTCTTTATTTTCTTACACTGTGAAAAGAAAATAATTAATATGGAATATAAAAGACAGTAAAAGAAAAAGCAGATGGTTGTCCTTCAATGCCAAAGAAAAACATGTATGTCATGGAGTAAGGAACGAAAGAATTGGACTGTGCATCATTATTGGAAAAACGAGGTATTCTGTGATGTATGTGAGCTAATTATTGAAAATGATAATCGTTGTACATTTTGTGAAAGGTCGCCGAAAAAGACAACCTCAATCTCGTGTATGCGCCATCGAAGACCCAACTCTCTATTTTGATATCGGGTTATATATGTTATAAATTTACAGGAACTTTGACATGTGTAAATTGAATTATTAACTCTGAAAAATATATAGATATATTAGAAACCTATTTGTGACCTGTTATTGCTCGATAATTTCCTGACTAAAGTTACATCTTTCAGAATGACGATGTCCCTCTACATCGATCCCCATTACACCGTGTCTTTATTGGAGAAAAAAATTATTACTACATCTTAGGTAATGCAGTCTCTAGAAATAAATATTACAGAAAATATTTGGTTACGATTTAAAAGAAATCTACAGGCCGTTAAAAATAAATATTGTGAACAGATGATCGCGGAAGTAACAGGTTTCTAGAAAAACGTTAATGTAAATCATATTCAGCAGGTTTATTTAACAATTCCCCCAAAACTACGTGAAGTAAAAAGAGTGAAGATCTATCTCACAAAATATTAAGGTATGACATTCAGTATGAAATTCAGGAGGACATTTCTTTGATCAGTAGTTAATGTAAACAAATCGCCATCATTTTGACGTCAGTGTCGAATACTTATGTCCAGTGACTGTAAGTCAAAAGGGACCTAAAAACTTGTAATTGAAAAGAGTTTAAAAGATATTTCCTTACATATCACTATTACTACTGACTTCCAATTCCTATTGGAGATGTATTATTACGCTGAAAACTAAACTTAATATTTAAACAAAATAACACTTTATTAGTACTCAGTATATATTATATTTAACTACATTTGTCAAGTAAATACATGTATGTACATATGTACTGATGTTGATCTTGAGTGGTTTGAGTGGTCCATTCTATATATATATTTCTATTTAAAAATATAATTCTGGTTATGACGTGATCACATCTCACCATTAAACTTCATTTCATAAGGGAGCTATAATATTAATTAATATGAAGCGAATATCACTTACGTTGTTGCGTGCATTAATTCAGCAAATAAATTAATGCTATCAACATTTAAGGACAGATGATAGAAACAAAAAATGTATGCCTGGATTTATATATATATATATATATATATATATATATATATATATATATATATATATATATATATATATGGTTGTGCCATTTAGGAGACCGCTCATATTTATATATTGGCATTAAGTAGCCTCGTAGAATAAGTGGACCAAAACCGGTCGCCTTAACATTTTGACCCTCTCTGAACAGAAAATTAATGACTTTTTAATATTAAATTGACAATAGTTAATTTTAGTTTAGTATATTTTTGTCCCTTAAATACAAAAAATATGCCAAAATTTTATGATTATAGAAATTTTTAAATTTAAATTTCAAGCAACGTATATATTGGTATTATTATATATCGTCATTATGTAGACCAGCTAAAACTTGCAAAATTAAATAAGATCTGCTATATATGTCTTATTTCTCCTAGTATTTAGTTTTAGATATTGTTCTCCCACTAATTTTGGGTATGTACAATTTGCTAAATAGAATAAAACTTTTTACGAGAAAATGAGCTTTAGAGTTTCGTGTTCATCAACTTCAAGGTTTTCGTGCGCAATGCCTTCCGAAAATTTTCGGAAATCCTCGGTATCCTTTACGACCTTCGGAGAAATAGGAGTCAGACAAAATTTTGGTAAGTAATAACAAATTATGATTTTTTAAAAATACTTATTCATGATATATTGACTATATATTATGCACCCAATATCTTGCGGTTAACGTCTGGTATTTATTCATTGATAAAGACTTACGTATACTTATTAGCATGGAGGAAATTCGAATTGTAGTTTACCAACAGCGTGGTTTCAACGGTGTCGGGTGGTTACGTTCCGATTCCGTGTTCGACCCGCGTGGTTACGACCCAAGTGGTTTCGACCTACTCTAATATATATCCTTATATGTGAATACCTGAGTACAGGGGTATACACTGTGCGGTAAACAAATGGATATTCGGTAGCTGTATATTGTATGGCTTCAGAGATGTGCGTGTCAATAGGTAGTTGTTTCCGTATGTGTAGTCAACATGCAGTTAGAAGGTTTCCTAACATTTTTTGTACTATCGCGGAGCATGGATGTTGATGAATTTGTTTAGTAATGAATTATATTTGAATAGTTTTCCATAAAAATTAATCAAATACTTCTTCAAATGTACCGTGATCACATACATTAATGTAGATTTCTCCAAATTATGATACACAAATATACGTGGTCGATACAAAAAAAAGTAGACGAAAAAATAAAATGTAAAACTGTTGAAAGTGTTAATTAATTTCGTTCCGAAGCAATTAATTGCTTTGGAACGAAACCACTCGGGTCGAATATGGATTCGTGTCGAAACCACGCGGGTCGAACAAGTAATCGGAACGTAACCACCCGCATTCGTTTCAACAGATCGTTTGTTTGTTTTGAACATATTTTATTGACATAAGCAAATGGATCGGAAACAAGTTCTTACAACTTACTTGTTCCTAACAATTGATTACATGTACTTGAACAAAATAATTGTAATCTCTGCTTACGTGGGCTGACTAAATATATACTGAATAGCATAATATTAGGCTGGTGGTATCGTTCTTGCGGAGATAAATTAAATATTCGATAATTTACCTGAAATACTAACTCTAATTTCCCATTATATGTGGGGTAGGGTTGGGTTGGAAATGGGAGTAAGGTGTTTCTAGGTTCAAACTTTTTTCACAGCCTAATCCAACCAGCCTTTCCTGAACAATTTTAATAGTAAAAGATTAATTGGGGGAGGGGAGGAGCCCCCCCTCCCTCCATCCACGA